GCACATTACATACAGAGGCATAAAGAAAAAGATAACAGCAGATTTCTTGTCAAAAGTAATGCAAATGAGAAGAAAATGGACAAACGTCTCTAGAGTACTGAAGGAAAAAAGTCAACCTACAAATATATATACCCAGTACAAATATCTTTCAAAAACAAAACAAAATAAGATTACTTTATTTAATTTAATTTTGTTGTTGTTGTTAATCCTAACATGAGGATATTTTTCCATTGATTTTTAGGGAGAGTGGAAGAGAGAGGGAAAGACAGAGAGAAACATCAATGTGAGAAAAACACATCGATTGGTTGCCTCCTGCATGAGCCCTGACAGGGGAAGAGCCTGCAACCAAGATATGTGCCCTTGACCAGAATCAAACCTGGGACCCTTTGGTCCTCAGGCCAATGCTCTATCCACTGAGCCAAACCAGCTAAGGCTAAGATTATTTTAGACATATGAAAGCTGAAAGATTTAATCACCAACAGATCTGCACTACAAGAAATGGTAAAGAAAATCCTTCAGGCAAAAGAAAAATGACACCAGATGAAAATAATGTATCTACACATAGGAATGAAAATGAAAGCATGTATCTACCTATAGGGATGAGACAATGATATCTCCACTGCTAAATATGTAAGAGTTTTTAAAAATTTGAAGTGTCTTTAAAACTAACTTTTTAGACAAAAACAACACTATGTTTTATAAAATAGGTATAAGAAAAATGTATGATAAGAACATAAAGACCAAAAAGGCAAAACAGAAGTATATTATTGTAAGGTTCTTATACTGCATGTGAAGTGCTGAATATTACTTAAACGTAGACTATAAGTTAAAAAACCCGTATATGGATGTTCATTGCAATTCATGAGTAATAGCCAAAAACTGAAACCGACCCAAATCTGTGTCTATCCTGTGTCTATCAACACAGGAATGGATAAGCAAATTGGAGTAAATTCATACAATAGGATCTACTAACAATAGAAAAAATGTTGATTGGTACAACAAAATGGATGAATCTTAAAATAATTATACCAAGAGAAAGAAACCAGACAAAGAGCACATACTGTATGATTACATTTATATGAACTCTAGAAGACACAAACTAATCCTCAGAGTCAGAGAACAGATCAATGGTTGCCTGGTGGTAATGTGGGACAATACAGATTACAAAGTACACAATAAACTTTTAAGAGTGATGGATATCTTGATTGTGGTGATGGTTTCTTTCACATATGTAAAACTTATTAAATTGTACACATTAAAATATGTGTAATTTATTGTATATAACCTATTCCTCAATAAAGCTGCTTAAAAAACAATTTTGGACTTAAATTTAGGTTAAAAACAAAAAATATTTAGACTATTTACAGTGCTCTGGCTCCACAGAGTAAAAATAAAATAGATGAAAGCTAGAACTAATAAAATACTTATAATTTTTAAGGATTAAGTTGGATCACAGAAACCAACTACTCAAATACTTTCTTATTAAAGACTAGAGGCCTGGTGCACGAAATTTGGCATGGGTAGGGTTCCTAAGCCTGGCTAGCGATCAGGGCTGATCAGGGCCTTCTGGCTGCCGGCCGGGATCTTCCTTCATTCTGCACTGCCCCCTGGTGGCCAGCACATGTCATAGCGAGCATCGAACTTCTGGTCTCCCAGTTGAACTCCCGAGGGGGCACTTTGCACATAAGCCTTTTATATCCTACTAGAGGCCCAGGGCACGAAATTTGTGCATGGGGGGTGAGGAGGGTGGTGGGTTCCCTCAGCCCAGCCTGCACCCTCTTCAATCTGGGACCCCTTGGGGGATGTCTGACTGCCGGTTTCGGCCCAGGGATTGGGCCTAAACTGGCAATCAGACATCCCTCTCACAGTCCTGGACCGCTGGCTCCTAATCGCTCACCTGCCTGCATGTCTGGTCACCCCTAACTGCGTTCTTCCCCTGCCGGCCTGATCGCCCCTCACTGCCTCTGTGTGCCGACCTGATCGCCCCCAACTGCCCCCTCCCTGCCAGCCTGGTCACTCCTAACTGCCCCTCCCCCCCCCGCTGGCCTAGTCGCCCCATGCAGCCCCATTCAGTCGTTTGGTCGTCCCTCACTAATCCCCCTGCTGGCCTGGTTGCCCCACGCAGTCTGCTTGTTCAATTGTTTGGTCATCCCTCACTAACCCCCCCGCCGGTCTGCTCACCCCACACAGCCTGCTTCTTCAGTCGTTTGGTCGTCTCTCACTAACCCCCTGCTGGCCTGGTCGTAGGCAGCCATCTTGTGAGGGCGTGAGGGTTAATTTGCATATTACCTCTTTATTATATAGGATATATTCTATAATAATAAAAATGTAATATGCTAATTCGACCAGACGTCCTTCCGGATGACCTTCTGGATGAAGCCGGGGCTGAGAGGGAAGCCTGGGCCCCGGGTGCCTGCCGGTGGCCAGAGGGAAGCCTGGGTCCCAGGTGCCAGAGGGAAGCCAGTGCTAGCAGCCGGAGGAAGGAAGGTCTACTCTTGCATGAATTTCGTGCATCGGGCCTCTAGTATATAATAAAAGCCTAATATGCAAATTGTCCCCTGGGGCAGTCATTCGACAGGAAGACCAGGAGTTCAACCGCTTGCTATGATGTGCGCTGACCACCAGGGGACGGCGCGGAACATGGTGGGCGTCGACAATCGAACTTCCAGTCTCCTGGTCGAACTCCTGAGGGGATACTTTGCACATTAGCCTTTTATATCCTATCCTATCTAATAAAGAGGGAATACGCTAATTGACCCTCACACCATTGCAAAGATGGCGGCACCCACAGCCACAGATGGAGGCGCCCAGTCCCCTCAGCCCCGCCCAGGCGCCTGTCTCTGGAGTCCCCCAGTCCCCTCAGCCTCCCGGCCACCCAGGGCCGGCCCAAGGCACAGGCAAGCCTCGGAAGGCAGCTGCACAGCTGCCCAGGGCCAGCCCAAGGTGCAGGCAAGCCTTGGATGGCGGCTGCCGGGCCACCCGAGGCTTAGGTAACCAGGGCTGGCCAAGGCTTGCGCTGCCGGCAGTGGCAGCAGCAGAGGTGTGATGGGGTGTTGCCTTCGCCTGATTGCTGGGTGGCCTCCCACCCGAGGGCTCCCGGACTGTGAGAGGGGGCAGGCTGGGCTGAGGGACCCCCCTCCAGTGCATGAATTTTCATGCACCGGGCCTCTAGTATAATACTATATAATAAAAGCCTAATATGCTAAGTGTCCAGTTGTCTGGTTAGCCATTCAACCAATCAAAGCGTAATATGCTAATGATATGCTAAGGCCATTCAACTGCTTACTATAACATGCACTGACCACCAGGGGCAGACACTTGGACCAGTAGGTTAGCTTGCTGCTGGGGTCCGGTCGATTGGGACTGAGCAAGACGGGCCGGACACACCCTGCAGCCCTCCCATGGTCCCTCCCAAGCTGGCCAATCTCCTGCATCCCTCCCTGGCCCTGATCGTGCAACTGTGGGGTCTCTCAGCCTGGCCTGCGCCCCCTTGCAATCTGGAACTCCTCGGGGGATGTTGGAGAGCCAGTTTCGGTGCAACAGCGGAATGACCCGTCACTATGACATGCACTGACCACCAGGGGGCAGACACTCAATGCAGGAGCTGCCTCCTGGTGGTCAGTGCGCTCCCACAGGGGGAGCACTGTCCAGCCAGAGCTGGGCTCACGGCTGGTAAGCGCAGTGGCAGTAGTGGGAGCTTCTTCTGCCTCTGTGGCAATGCTAAGGATGTCTGACTGACGGCTTTGGCCCACTCTCCGGGGGAGCCGGCCAAAGCTGTCAGCCAGACATCCCCTGAGGGCTCCCAGACTGCAAGAGGGTGCAGGCCGGGCTGAGGGATCCCCACCACCCAGTACATGAATTTTGTGCACTGGGCCTCTGGTATATAATAAAAGCCTAATATGCAAATTGTCCCCTGGGTCAGTTGTTCGACAGGGAGACTGGGAGTTGACCACCAGGGGGCGGCACAAAACATGGCAGGTATGAGCAACGTGGTGCTGGCAGGCGGTGCTACCGCCCAGCTCCCAGGCACTGAGGGAGCCAAGCAGGGGGCCTGGCCCCGATCAACTGCCGCGCAGGCGGGATGGTAGAGCAGGTGAGGACATGGCGCCAGGCCATGGTGGGGTGCCAGGCAGGGCGGCAGGGCTGCGGGGCTGCGGGGCTGCGGGGCTGCGGGGCTGCGAGACTGGGGGCGTGAGCTGGGCCCCATCCCTGCAGGCCACCCTGAGGGACCCCACCCATGCACGAATTCATGCACCGGGCCTCAAGTATATAGATAAAAGATATCCCAGAAAATTAGTGACTTGCCCAAGGTCTTACAGCTTCAGTTAAAGGCTTAATAAACTGTTTTAAGATCCACAATGGCAGGGATTGTTATTTAGGCCACCACTGTATCCTTTTTACCTAGTACAATGCCTGGGACATGGTAAGAGTTCAATAAATATTTGTTAAAAAGGAGGGTAAAAACGAAGATAAAAGGAAAGGAAATCTCCCTTGCAATATGACTGGAAGTGTCTCCTTATCTTCAATTTTATAATCTCTAACACAGGTGAGAAAATTAAGCAATATCTTTAATATCACAAATAGAAGAGAATAAATTATATTCCATATTTTTAGCTTACTGAATATTTTATTATATTTGCATGCTTAAAAATTTCTAATTCATGTTACCAACTCTTGAACAGGCAGAAGAATAGAAAATACTCCATTTATGAAGATTAGTGACATTTTTAAGTTTTAACCCTCACCTGAGGATATGTTTTTATTGATTTTAGACAGAGAGGGAGGGAGGGAGGGAGGGAGGAAGGAAGGGAGAGAGATTTAGAGAAACATTGATTGGTTGCCCCCCGACAGGGGATTGAACCCACAACCTAGGTATGTGCCCAAACTGGGAATCGAACCCCCAATCTTTATTTTGGTGTTCAGGATGATGTTCCAACCAACTGAGCCACCTGGCCAGGGCGACATTTTCAAATTCTGAAAATTAAGGAAAAAGTGCTTACCAAAAATTTCTCCATTTTTTGCATATTCTGTCACAAGGTACAACATGTTTTTGGTCTCCATTACCTATTGATAAATAATTCCATATTAGTCTGACAGGAAAGAATTGAAATTTGCCACATTTTATAGAGTTACTTATTTTAAAACTACTAATAAAAGTGTCAAAGTCATGAACAATTCAGAAGCTGGCGAAGTATAAGACACAATATCCTTATGCTAACACTCTGGTGAAAAATCTAGATCCTTGCTCTTCCAAGTGTCATCCACGGACCAGCAGAGGCAGCACTGCTCAGGTATCTTAGAAATAAATGTAGGCTCTCAGGCCCCACCCAGATCTACTGACACAGAATTTATCTTTTAACAAAATCTCCAGGTGGTTATTATGCACATTCAAGTTTAAAAAATGCTAATATAGGTAACTGGAGTTTTGAAGTTCAATTTTTTACCACCTCCTCACTGACTTTTCTAGCCCTGTGTGATACGGGAGACTCTGATCGAGGAAAGGAGAATAAAACACAGCTCAGTTTATCTGGCACAATGTGATATTCCTCCTACTATACTTTAATACTGTAACAAGTATTATTATTTTAAAACATTGTTCAAAAGTTTCTTCATAACTCCACCGCTATATATACTTTTATTTAAATTAGTTTTTCTAGGTTCAGAAAAGAAGCCTGTCATTGTCATAAACTTGATTTTTCAAACTATACTGAACCGAAAAGAAATGAATTTACAAATTCAAAAATGATTGAGTTTTAGATTGCCTCTCTGTAACACTCTACCATTTTACATACTGGCACATACTAATAGCATAAAATTGAACTGCTATCTACTAAACAGCTGAAGCAAATTTGCTTTAACATGTAGGTGTAGGACTACCCCCTATCAGACCAGAAAACTAAGAGCCACCTACAATTTGGGTCTAAACAAGTCAAACAGCAAATCAATTTACCTCATCATTTAGTTCAAATAAACATAGAATTATCATGTGAAGCTTCATGTTTTAACCTCAGTTTGGCTTATGGGTCATCAGAGACTTCTAAGAATGTGATAATTTTTTTATAAGTATCCTCTTCAGAAATATTTTTTAAAAAGTGTAAAGGGGCCTGGCTGGCGTGGCTCAGAGGTTGAGCATCAACCTATGAACCAGGAGGTCACGGTTCAATTCCCGGTCAGAGCACATGCCTGGGTTGCAGGCTGGATCCCCAGTGGGGGGCGTGCAGGAGGCAGCCGATCAATGATTCTCTCTCATCATTGATGTTTCTATCTCTCTCTATCTCTCCCTTCTCTGAAACGAATAAAAAATATATTTATAAACTAAAAAAATTTAAAAAAGCATAAAGGGAGAAATACTCTGGTATACTATACATTTGACCTAAGAGGGCCTCTAGGGTTTTAGAACTTCAGGAATTGTTTTGAGTGGCACACCACAGTCTCTCATTTTTAGGTAATGATAATGCTAATGGTCCCACACCTCTTTAACTGCAAATTTCTATCAATAAAAAGTTGTTTAGCTAAATATGTATATGTGTATGTACATATGTATACATAAAATATGTATCTGCATTTTGAATATATAAAGAGATACAAATTACATACTCGTGCCACTGTCTAAATACAATAGGTACATATAGTCTAGCATACTGTAACATTTTAGTTTGAAACTAATTTTCCAATATAAATATTCCACATCTTAATGAATGAAATTATTATAAGTGTTTGGTATTACATTACCATTCTTAAAGATGAAATACTCTTTAAAAATATGAGAAAATCTTCCTTTTAAAAAACATGGTTTACACTTAAAATGGGTACAGTTTCTTACAAAAATTATATCTTAATAAAGTTGTTTTTTAAAAAATGGCTCAGTTACTTTATCTAATATAACAACCCAAATAAAACATAAGATTTGGCTCTACGTATTACAAATATGTCACTAAGTAATAAATCATTTTTGGCCTTTGTATTTAATAAAACAATAGCAATATATTTTTTAAGTAAGCAAAATTCCCATGTCCTCATTAATAGTACCACCACCAAATCCCAGCAGGTTTAAGATGGTATCACAAATGCACAACTATGAGCTTTTAATTAAAAAAAAATTTTAAACATATTTTTATTGATTTCAGAGAGGAAGGGAAAAGGAGAGAGAGATAGAAACATCAATGATGAGAGAGAATCATTGATCAGCTGCTTCCTGCACGCCCCTACTGGGGATTGAGCCCGAAACCCTGACAAGTGACCTGACTGGGACTCAAACTATGACCTCCTAGTTCATAGGCTGATGCTCAACCACTGAGCCACACCGGCCAGGCAAGCTTTTTAAATAAATAACTTACAGTATGAGAGACACGTTAAAATTAAGCTACAAGTTTTTATTTTCCCAATTTTTTATTTGAATATAGAAAGGTGGTTCTATTCAGTTTAGTAAAAACATGACATCATCCTTTTTTAATACGTTGAAAAAACTATCATAAAAGAGAAAAATGATGATGCAAAATAGAGAACTGAATGTGAGAAGCATGGAGAGTTGTAAGGCTAAGTCATACCTGATAAAGTTTGATTATGTGAGGATGGTCTAACATTTTCATTATTTGTACTTCTCGGTAGATTTTCTCAAGGTTCACTGCATCCAGCTGAGATTTATCTATAATTTTTATCGCCACCTGCATCCCATACACAAATAAATACAGTTAGTATAGAATGGTTAACATTTTCCAGTTAGAATCTTTTTAACAAATGACATCTGAGACTTTGCCTGTAGGTTCCTATTACAATAATAGCTAGATTAAATTCAATGCTCATTTATTCATTCAACAAATAGTTCTTAAACATCTACTATGTGTAAAACACTGGTATATTTTGTTCGGTAGTGTCTTCAGTGTGCTATGAAGAATAACCCTACAAAGTTACTTTAATAAAACATATTCCCCTTTCAATACAAACGAAATGCCTTTGTACTCCATTTATAAATTAAATAAAATCTCAGCAGTTTCAACTAGTTATTATCCCACCACAAGGTACCTATAAATAAATGATCAACTAGAACAGTTTCTATTGTGCTAAAATGAAATATATATATATACACACACACACACACAAGGCTAAGTGACCGACTGTACATCTGTCCAACGAACCGGCCAGTATATATGACGCACACTGGCAATTTAAAAATAAACATTGACTCGCATATGTGCGATACATATAAAGCTCTTGCTGGCGCCTTAGCATGCGTGTGTTGCTTTCTCTCGAGTTTGAAGAGCGTGTGACGTTAATGTTGTAAATACTTCATCACAAGGGAAATTAGTCAAGCAATCTGAAAGTGTTTTTACTCTTAATGTGGTATACAGGGAGATATCTGCATAATCAACTTATCAGTCATTGTTTTTATCAGTTGTTTTTATAACATGTTTTTGTTGTTTTATATCATGTCTTTGTTGTTTTTATATCATGTTGTTTATTTATTAATCAATTTATATATTATTTTCATATACATTTTACTAATTTTCTTTCATCTCTGACACTATTATAGAGAAAGGGTGAGTAGCAATATTAAAATATTTCTTCTAATTTCCTTTTAATGTGCAGGAATCCATGCACCAGGCCACTAGTTTTTCTAGAAAAGCCAAATGATAGGTTCAAAAGCTAATATAAATTATAAAAATTCATCTCCATGAAACTACCCATTGGATTAAATTTTTTAAGATATATTTTTATTGATTTCAGAGAAGAAGGGAGAGGGAGAGACAGAAACATCAATGATGAGAGAAAATCACCAATTGGCCGCTTCCTGCACACCTCCCACTGGAGACCGAGCCTGCAACCCCAGGCATGTGCCCATGACCAGCATCGAACCTGGGACACCCTGGTCCGCAGGCCAACGCTCCATCCACCAAGCCAAACCAGCCAGGGCTGATTTAAATTTTGTTCTAAAAAACAAAGTACAAAAACTCAAATGTTAGTAATTACACTAAATTTTGACTTTCATAACGAAATCTGATTTTTAAAAATGTGGCCTCTCTCTCTTATAACTAGATAGGAACCCAAACCCTCCCAAGGTTAATAATTTGAAGGAGCTGCATTTGAAGATGAATAACTAGGTAATCAGAAATCAACAATCATGTACCTTTTTTTCATGCAATCAAAAAAACCCAATTTTTAAAAATTAGTATATCTTTGGTTAGGAAATAAACCATTCTGACTTAAAATTTTCAGATAATTAGACACCACCCAAATTTAATTGTAAGTTCTGAAGAAACTCTAAAATGTACTTTTCATTCTTTGTATGTATTCTGAACATAATTCAGTTGTATGTTGTTTCAGGGTAATATTTAAGATATTGATACTGTATGCACGATAATCTAATAGGACTCAGCTTGTCAATTCCCTCAGACCCTTGATTATACAATTATTTTTTTCTTCTTTCCTTATAGCTACTCTGTCCTTTGCTTGTATCTCTACTGTAAGGTTTATTTCTTTTCTTTTTTAAAAAAATATATTTTATTGATTTCTTACAGAGAGGAAGGGAGAGGGACAGCGAGTCAGAAACATCGATGAGAGAGAAACATCGATCAGCCGCCTACTGCACACTCCCCACTGGGGATGCGCCCGCAACCAAGGCACATGCCCTTGACCGGAATCGAACCCGGGACCCCTGAGTCCACAGGCCGACGCTCTATCCACTGAGCTAAACTGGTCAGGGCTGTAAGGTTTATTTTTTACCTTTGTCTATTTCTAATTTGCTGTCACAGCTTGTTTTCTGATTTGAATTAATTGTAATCCACAGAAGAACTCAAGTTCCCAAGAGAAATCAGATTACTAAATATATTCATAAAACTAAATTTTTGCCTAAGAGCTTCTTTGCTAGGCAGTTTTACAATAGTTATTTTGATATTTGTTAGTATTTTGCTTCTGTAATCAAAATATTCTAGAAAGTAGAAAGTGCTAAACTTTGCTAGAAATGAGACTATAGGCACAGTTATTATCATTTACTTTGGGTAAAAGTTGACAGATAAAAAGGTAACTCTATACTTGAATATTTTCAATATCCCTTAGGACGGTAACATGGGCATATTTTGTCTCCCCATTTTAGCTCTCTCTTCATATTTGCTTCTACTAGTATGTATCAGATAGGACTGTTATGCCTCCCATTCTTTGTGGGCTGGCATAGCGTAGAGAGTATCTTGAGGGGCCCAGTAGTGCAGTCTCTTTGTTCAGCTGAGCTGGATGCTCTAGGAGTGCCCCTTGTGTGCACTGTTTGGGCTCTCCTGTTGTAATTGGGACTTGATTATTGATGTCCCGTTTGTGGGAGGGATCGCCCCTCCAACTTGCTACCAGTGAAGTTCAACCCCAAGGTTGTCGTGCCAGCTGTCCAGTGGGCAGGGACTCCTTAGCCCAGAGGCTGGGTCTGCTTTGAGTCTCACGCCTTGATTTTCCCTGTTCTGAGCTGTACTCTCCTCACCGAGCTAGTTCTGCAGGTGTCAGCTGCAGGCGCTTGGGCTCCCGCTGGCTTTTGCCTCGCTGAGCAGTCTGGGATGGGTCTGCTGTGGAGACCCAAACTGCTGTTTCTGACTAATTAGATATGTATGCATTGTTTTAAAAATAACCTTCAGTGAATTTATTGGAGATTAGAAAAATTAATATTCCTTCTGCAAGTGTTCAAAAAGAAAGTTTCCTATACAACATTAGAGGGCACATTGGATAAGCTAAAATGATTACTAAATCCCATGTAAAGTAGCAACACTGAATATTATAACCTCAGAAATAGGAAAACGAGAATTAAAAACAACAAAATACTGCCCTGGCTTATGTAGCTCAGTTGATTGACCGTCATACCATGTACCAGAATGTCTCCAGTTTGATTCCCAGTCAGGGCAACAAAACAAAAACAAAAATCCTAACAAAATACCTAATATGTCACTTATATCTCAAAAGATACCATTTTCACTTATTATATTTACAAAGATTAAAATGTAAATACCCTTGAGAGCTAAGGTTCAAAGAGATGGCCACTTTTATATGTGGCTGCTAGGAATAAAAAATAGGTTATAACTTTTCTATAAGGTAATTTGACAATGTCAAGAACCTTAAAAATCATCCATCCCATTTAGCCTAAGGATTCTACTTCTAAGAAATTATTTGAAAGAAATAATCTGAAATGATAATTTATAACATTAAAAAGTAGAAACAGTAACTAGGAAATAATTACATGAACTATGGTAAGTTTACATTATGACTTATTAATATTAACTATTAAAATGGTTCCTTTTAATAATATGGAGAAATGCTTAGACTAAAAAATAATGGACTATTTTATTTTTCCATTATACTTTTCTGTATAATTTCTCTTTGATTAAAATGAATACTTTTCTAATAAGAAAAAAGAAAATGGAGTTATATTTATCAAATATGCTAACTTCTTTATCTGTGAAATATTAGTCATTTTCTTAATTTCTAAATTCTTTATAAAATGGGTATATTTTAAGATTTAAATATTAGTTAAGACTATATATAGAGATGTTTCCAATAATCTTAAGTTAAAAAATACACACAAAGTAACAACTACGTAAAATACAAATTTGCACAGATTAAATGTAAGAGCAGAAATCAAATAATGTTAAACTGATGAATAAGAGGAATATTTTCATGTTTCAACATATAATTTAATGCTTATGTTACCCTGTATGATAAATTTAGAAAAAATTATTTCACTTCTCATAAGAAATATTAATCTCATACATTTAAAGAAACCACACACACGAGTGGCTTTGAGGAACTTTATAAGGAAGTTACAAAATAAGAGCTATTCTTCTAGTAACAAATCAGAAGGCATTAACATATGTTTGCTGTCTCAGGTAATATCTGCTTCAGTGTTATTTACTACTAACACACTAATTCTACATTGTCTCTCTAAAGTAGCAAGTAGATTTATCCTTACCATACAATTATATTTTTAAAGTTAAAAAATAAAATTTGACTAAAAAGTGAATGTAAGTAGTCTACAATGAAAGGGTTTCTGAAAGCAGTAAAAGTCAGTAGTAAAACTGACATGGAGTTCTTTAATTACCCTTTAAGGGTAAATAAATTAGACTTTTTTTCCAATTTAAAATTTGACTTTTAAAATACAAGAATTTATATAATAAAATAAGCCCTCATTAAGATTTAATTTGATTATTATAATGATGGGTAAGCGAAACCAATTGGAGTAAGGGTAAATGTTAGTATACTTTTATACGCATACAAATTCAACTGAGAATTTTTAAGACTATAAATGATTAAAAATAATCTTAAAAATTATTTAAGCAAATTTACAAAAAGACAACTCAATTAAAAAATGGGCCGAAGAACAAACAAGCAATTCACAAAAGAAATACAGTCATCACATGAAACTGTGTAATCAAAGAAACGCAAATGAGAATAAGATATATTATTTTCTTCCATCAAATCGGGAAGATTTAAAAATCTTATTCCTGGTAAATATGCAGTCTTCCTGGTAAAAATTAATAGGTACTCCTTTTTTATTTTAGGGTAATTTGGCATCCCATGCCATAAGATACAGATGTAAAGACATATTTCCTGACCCAAGAATTTCCATAACTATGGTATTACCCTAAGGAAATAATCAGATAGGTATACAAAAATGTATATACAGGAATGCTCTCTGAAA